CGTTCAGGGAGAGTTGTTTAACCTGAGGGAATCAACCTCCCCAGGCCCTGATGCAATCTCGGCCAAGCTGCTGAGGGAGCTAGCCCCCAAAGTGCCCAAACCACTAGCTTTGCTCTTCTAAACATCATTTGCTACTGATCGCCTACCCTCCGATTGCGATTTCGCTGCCAGCACTCCGTTTTTAAGTAAGGAAGTCAAGCGTCTGCGAACAAATACAGGTCCGTTAGTCTTACCTACATCTGTTGCAAAATCATGAAGAAAGCGTTTATGCAATTCCTCGAGGAGCACCACCTCGTCCCCGATGTCCAACACCGATCTCGCAGTGGTAAGTACCGTCTCACGAATCTGCTTTTCACCTTACTCGTGGATCAGAGCACGCGACGAAGGCAATACGGAGCACGCCATCTACGTCGACCCCAAAATGCCTTCGACAGCGTTCCTCGTCAGCTTTTCTTGCAGAAACTGCGCAACTCAGGAATTTGTGAAAGCATCTTTGTATGGATTCAAAGCTTTTTGTCAAGACGGTCCCAAAGAGTGCAGGTCGGGCGCCAGCGGTACTCAGAGGTAACCGTAGTGAGTGATGTTCCACAGGGCTCAGTCTTAGGCCGAAGGTTATTTCTTGTTTTCATCAATGACTGCGTCAGGGACCTAGACTGCGATGTCATTCTGTTCGATGACGACGTAAAATTGTAAAAAAATATTCGTTATGCGGCAGACATAGACTATCAGCAAACAAACTTGAACAGGCTCGAGAACCGGTCGATACGCTGGCTTATGCCCTCCAATGTAAGTAAGTGCAACTTTAATTAGCTCGGCAGCTGCAGAACCTCCAGCCCAGAACTCATTTTCTATACAGCACAGCAGTGTAAAAAGTTGACAATCTGAAGAACATAGGTCTGTGGATCAGTTCTTCACTCAAACCAACCATGAACTGTGCGAAGGAGACTAAGTTGGCCATGTGTACACTGCAACTCATTAGGCGAACCTTTATGGCATTTGTCAAAGACAGCTTCTTCAAAGTATTTGACACTTTCCTGCGGCCTCATCTAGAATATGTCATATTGACATGGACTGTCAGCGACTATGCCGTCTTAGAGAGGGTTCAGAGACCGGAAAAATAATGACACAAGGCCTGCGAGCACTACCCATTGAAACCAGACTGTCTACTACCAACCTGTTCGGTCTTTCTTAACGGCAACTACGCGGTGGACTTATGCTAAATTCTCGCATTATAAACGACCCAGACTGTTGCTTAGTTTCCACTGGTCATTTAACTCAAGCTAACACGTCCGATTTTGGCAATCATCCCCCAAAACTGCGCGCCGACAAAGCGAAAATCAACGGACGAAAGTTCTTCAGTAACAGAGTGGTCGCAACGTGGAACACTCTGTTTACTGATGTTGTGTGCTCCTCCTGTATGGATTCATTTAAATGTCAAGCTTCCCAATAACCAGTCACACACGCGCTTACACGACTTGTCGCCCACCTTATATTTAACCGTGTTTGACACGATTAAATAGTTAACTGTTTTTGTACATAGCCCAAAAGTCTGACGACGAGCTGGGGATCCAGACTCGAAAATTTACTCATTAAAGTTTATTCCCTTCCCAAAGAATCTTACTTATTTTCAATTAAATTTCTTAGGATGCCCGTTTTCCAGCACATATGTATATATATGTACCACTTATAACGAGTGAGTAGCCGTTCACGTTCACCCTTTTTCGGTTAGCAGACAGCTGCCTGGCCTTCGCGCGCAGTATTTTTACACAACGTCTTTCTCAACTTTCCACTTATCGATACCTTTCTCAGGCGATGTGTGTCCAATAGGGAGTTCAAAGGCGTTCGCCTATATTTCCCTTGATAAAACTGAACTTTGCTGAACTCTTCGCGCAGATATTTGGTAGTTTGTCAGACCCCATTTGGAATACGGAAGGCCAGCGTGGATGCTCTGGATGAAGAAAGACGGCGATCCCACCAAACACGTGAATTGACGGGGGGCAAAAACTGGTGGGCGGTCTTAAGACTCTGTCCTATCCAACCTCCCCATGCTGTCGTGAGTTCGAATCCAACCGACGCACCGAGTTTTTCACAGTTGGGTCAAGGTGCATATCCAGGAAGACTGATCCAGCACAATTTATTCCCCATTATCCTATAGACAAATGAGGTGCAAGCTGATATGAATATTCCGCATAATCCACAGAGATAAGTATTCACTTAAACCTGAAGATTCCTTTCAGTTTACGAGTATGAGTCACCTGCGCGTTCATCCGTACAAGCTCAATCGCGAATGTACGCGCCTTGACCTACGGAAGTTTTCTTTCAGTCGGTCTGTAGTTCGACCGTGGAACTCACTCCCAAGTGAAAAAGTGACACCTAATTGCTTTCAAAAGACAGTTTTATCGTTTGATTTTTGATAAACAATGATTTTATTGCAGGAATATCTACGGCCAGCAATGAAATTAATTTCCTGACTTCATTTCCTATGCAAGGGGCCCCTGCACGTTTGATGCAAACTGTCCCCGGAAACTCCACAAATAACGATATTGTGTGCCGACTGTGTATAATTTTACTATTATTTTATTTTCCTTTTATTTTATTTTGATTTTTATAGTCTTAACTGTACACAAAGAGGACTGTATGTAGTTAGGACCGTAACATTCAAAAAACGGAGGGCGTAAGGATGGTCGTTTTCACCGTTTAAATGTTGCCTCCAGATTGCATTTGTTGCCGACAACATTTTGATGGCCTGTTTATTTGAGCATGAGTATTGTATATACTGTTTTCGAAAGAGCCATCAACGGCATTGCCTATTACCCTAAAAATGATACTATGCTACTGTTCCCAAAAAATGCCCAAAAAAAGAAATAACCTCCATTTGGACGGCAAAAACGTTCAGTAGTAGACCGAAGGCATCGTTCGAAACCCTCGATTATCCCCATGTAGCTAAAGTCTCTGGAAATTTTTGCGCTGATGGTAAAAAATTTTCATGATATAAACGACTGGCACAAGTTCTGCGTAAATATCTGCATGTTTTTTCAAACGTCTATCTGTAAATAGGGTTTTCCAAGGCTCTGCCACTATCCCTCATTTATACTGAATTATACTGATCTGTCCTAGTCTGGACATCTGAAAACCACAGCGCCCTAGAAGAAGTCGAAAATTTAGAGACCAAATTAGTTAAAGAACAGCCTTCAGTATCCTATGAAACGCGCCTTCTTACCTGGATCTTCTCCTTTGTTTCACAGACAACTACAGTGTTGTCTGATACAAACATTGCACATCGTGCGTGGCTGGGACCGCTGCCGGGTGTCTTCTGACCGCTAAGAAATGGCAACCACAACGAACCCGCGTAAGCCTTCACCTGAACTATTTAGGCCAGGGAGTAGACTGGCCATGTGGAAGTTCTTCCACTGCAGAATGATCGAAACGCTGGATGGTATGCCTGCTGGAGCCGTTCTATCTTCATCTAATAATAACAGTTGTTTCAGTGAACATGCATGTAGGCACCGTAAACGTAGTTTCAAAGAGTTGTCCGAGAGCAAACCACGGGACGAATAAGCCGACATATGTGTATAGTGTCCAACCTCTCTTCATAATAATGACGATTAACAGGTTGGACGCTCGCCTTCTGGCACCGTCAAACTTAAGAGGAAGCAGAGAGATGAAGATGAACGAACAGTGAGAAGACTCTCCGCCATGTTTGTCGGAGAAGGTATAAAATTAATGCGATTCCTGAGCTTTTTTAGAGAGAAAAACTGTCGATCATGACAGTTAAGTCTGCGAGACAGACCTCCTGATTATGAGATAATATGCAGGGTCTAGGCCGTCCTCGTACAGGGAGTTTCGTAAATTATAAGAGGCTACTCGTACCCTCAAAAACCGACAATTACGATCATAATATTTCTTGACTGTTCACAGAGACGGCTGTGAAGGTGACGAGTGGGAGAAATCCACAGTGATCGGTAACAGTTCGCTCAGGCCGATAAGTGAAGCTTTGCATATACTTTGATATTCTTAAGCAATTTATGCCCATTTCTTACTCGAGTCCTTTTTAAAAGTTGCTTTTTACTGCCGGGTGTAATTTTTTCCAGTCTTGTTAGACAGTCCGGTAAAGTAGCCGTATTTTGTGAAGTGCCTTTTTAGTGACTCTGTGTCAGACCGTCTCTTTCTAGTTTTTGTAGTAAACTAACAGTAGTATTTTCTATTCTGTGCCTTTCGTTGTACATTAGTAACGTTTTGATCCTTGTACTGCAACGGAAAACCTATCTAGTACCCTGTAATGCCACGAAAAACACGTGCTAAAAGACAAATGTTTGCGAATTTCCCACCGTCTCTGGGTTCTAGAATCGTGGCCGGAGACGCAGCAGGTGCCAGCATGTGTTCTTTGCCTTCTGTGGACATGGTTAACTCGAAAATTCCTTTAGTTTAAGTAGAACCTCTTGACTCCTTAATCATCCAAAACTACACCTCTGCTAGTCGTAACAGAATATCAGCCGACAAAATGCTCAATCAGTTGATATGTGGCGACATAGGCGGCGCTTCTGAAAAAGTCATTGAACAAGCGTTTAAAGTTATTGGAATAATAAGTTCTGAAACCGAGGAGAGAATAAAACGCATGCATAATTTCCCTGCCAGCACCAGCCGCACTTGGCCGAGGCAAATATGATGTGGCCAAGTGCGGCTATGGTGCGGCCAGGTGTGGCCAAATGGTGTGGCTATGGTCTGGCCATCAACACACTGGCCACACCTTGAAAAAATTTTACGTGCGGGCTTTTTCTCGTTTTCTTCCATTCATCGCGGCCTCGATTTTTTGGCCGTCAACGCCAACCATGACGAACGGTCGCCTAACGTAAAACCCCGAAAAGAGTCACAGCGAACCTCCACGTCCCAAGCAAGATAGGCTACGGCGGTAAGTGGCCCACTACAGGGCAAATGCGGATACCGAAGATGGTAAAGTCGGAAGGCGGTATTGTGGAAGGGCAACTTATTGAATACGCAAGTCAAAAAATGTAAATGTACAAAGTCTGTCTTGGATCATGGGGTTTCAGCGACCTTCGTATCCAGGATGAGAAGTCACTTTCACTGGCCATTGGTAGTTCCTGCATAAAAAAACTTTCGTAAGACTTACGTAATGCAGGCGCAACGGAAGTAATAATACACTGTATTCAATACGTACGATTTTAATAGTAAAAATTACATGAAGTAAATAGCATGCTGTGTAGGATTGGCAATTCGATAAATTTGCTTACCGGTTCTTTGGCGGGGGATAATTGTGGGCATGTGCCGGCAGGTATGGTGATTTCTGTAGTCTAAATAAATGTGGATGAAAATCCCGAAAGTTTGTACCTGAAAAATGTTCCGCCGACGTGTTGATCTTCCTCCGTACCGATCCTGTGATTCATGAAACCACCTGATTACTGTCCGTCGAAATATCTCTATAGTGCAGTTGCCAAAACGGGGATGTTGGGCAATGGCATCTGCGCGTGAAAATGAACAAAAATTGGACTTACCTTTAAGGACAGGAAAAAGTGGACAGGCCATGAAGGACTTCTTCCCCTTGGATCCGCCCGCCCAACAGAAGTTGTGGCATAAGGGCGGGCCCAATAGAACCGTCAGTATGTTTCGGAGGAAGTCTGCCTCATTTCGACCACCTACCATGGCCGGTTGCCGGATCTGAAAGCAGTCAAGTAGATGTGCACATACCGCCTCGTTTGAAAAACCGTCGTCTACGCTGAGCCAACGAAGAAAGTTTTCATATGCCTCCTCGGTACACAGCGGTAAATTTAGAGAGGAGGATGTGACAGAACCGGCGCTGGAGTCGTTCTGCAATGCACTAACAACATCTGATAGTGTTGCCTGTATATGCTGCGCACTGCTATGAAGAGCCATAAGTTGCTCAGCTAGGAAATCGTTCCTTTTGCTAATAGTTTGTTAGGGAGATTGTTCACAGTCTTACTCAAGTGCCGCTAGCCGGACATTTGTGTTTTCTAACTGACCTTTTATGTCAGCCATGTCCTTTTGCACCTGCTGGCTAAATTCCGTCGAAATTGTGGCCGTGGAAACATATGACGAAATTGTCGTGGAGTGTCTAAAGTAATAATCGATAGGCGTTGTCTACTCAAGTGAGGACAGTGGTGTTGACTGAGTGGGTCCAATCGACGCAGTGAAAAACAAGTGTGGCACATTCTCATCCGTTCTTGGCCTACGAAATGTCTACAATAGTCATACTTACTGTAGTATTGGCGATGGAGCTGGCCAACCAGTTGGCTCTTTCGGTTGGTTTGGCGAGTCCTTGTTGTCGGAGTCTGAGGTTAGTTTGCAAATATGTCTGCAAAGGAAAATTAGTGGTGCATAACATGGTAGCACACTTGATCCTCTTGCCCCTACCCAACTGGCGCGGCTCGGAACTGGAGAGATTGCCAGTATTCTCTGCTCTTCGCGCCGCCTGTCAAGCTTTTTGCAGCGTTAGGCCACTTCTTAGTACCTTGACGGCGTACACCTTAGTACTATCCGGTGGCCGCCTCTGGCGCAAGAGCCGCTTGTATATAATGCTTCGGTGAAAGTCGTAATACTTTCGCTTCATAGCAACGAATAACTACTCAACGACAACAAATATTTGTACTTTCAACATTGTTCGCAAAATCATAAGTGAAATTATACTTATACATATGGTTCTACACCTTAATAAGCATAACGCATACCCTAAATGACATAACTTGGAAAATAAAGAAGTATCAGACACAAAATGGACTCCGAATTACTTGTCAATATGTCATAAACAATCACAGGACGAGAGAGCCGCAACGCTTGCCTCAGACACAGCAAAAGATCAATGGCGTCTAATTGGCCCACTTAAACAAAGCACCTTAATCAGTTTATTTCGAGACATAACCACTGCCCACAATATGAAGATTCCTGGTACTTTATGAGTGATATAGGATATATCTTCACTAATTTAGCACTTTGCAATGCAGAAGTGGTCACCTACACGATTGGGAGGTCCTCCAAAATTTCTTCAAATTAGGCGTGGCCATGACCGCGCTTGGCCACACCTGCCCACACGTACAAGGTGTGGCAGGTGTTGGCGGGTTTGTACTGCGAAACATCCCGAGTCACTTTTCTGCTAAAGAGGGAGCGCATTTATTCCTGCAAAGATGTGGCTTGGCTTACAGTGTCGCACAAGCTAAACGATTGCGCTCGCTCAGCCGTAATGCGCCGATACTAGTTACACTTTTCTCCTTGATAGAAGTCGATTTTATCTTGTCAAGGAAAGAGATAACTAGAGAAATTTGCCGTAAATGGCGCTGCTCCGTTTCGCCGGACCTCACACCAATGCAACAGAGTCTAAACAAATTGAAATTGTCAAAAGCCAAAATCGAGATAATGACCCTTATTTTCAGTTTGAATAAATCTTATTCTTCCTCATCATCATCTGCGGCCTCTGCACGTCACGGCATAGTCAATTCCGCATGGAGTTCGACTACTCTTGATGCTGAGATCTCTAAACGCATTAACACGCCTGGTATAAACACGCCTCTACCGACTCCCCCGGCAACCTCTAGCAAGCCTACGCATGCGCCTATGTCAACGGCGAATCCAAACGCCGTCTCAGCCACTCGGACACCTGGTAAATCCAACTCCGTTATGAAATCGTTTCCTGCACAATCGCCCAACACTGCCTTAAACAACATGGACCAAAACGTAGCGTGTCTCCAACTACTCCGCCAGCCCTCATATCGAGGCGGTTAGGACGAATATGCCGAAATTCCCGCCTTTTAATAGAATTCTTGCTCCAATGGAAGCCGTGCGTCCCTCAACCCCCAATATGTTTCCTCCACAGCCGTTTTACCAGTGTATTCATCATGCTAATTTCCATAGTGGTCAGTTAACTCCTCCGCTCCTCAGGTTCCTTTCCGCGGGAATACGCTACAGTATCCGTCCTGTGGATTTCCAGCTGAAAATGAGTTAGCTTACAATAGTTACCAGTTTTCCTGCCAGTCATTTCGTCCTCCAAGTCCTACTCACTTTTATTCGCGTCAAAATATTTTCATGCCACAAAATGTTTTGCAGAATCGGATGGGTGCACCCGGACCGTGTATATCGTAGGCGGCCAAGTACTGAACGACGTAGCTTACCTCCCTCAGAAAAAAACAGTCTTTCCCCTCAAACGTTTTGTTCTAAATGCCAGACCCTTGCTAAATAAGATGCCTTTACTTCAGGCTCTGGTGCTTGTCCATTGTCCAGATATTGTTTGAGTAACTGAGACATGGGCATCGGCTGCCGTAGCTGACTCCGAACTCTCCGTTCTAGGCTAACCTTGCATTCGAAATGATCGTCAAGACAGCCGTGATGGGTCCAGTCGCGTCTACATTAAACAAACACTTAAATTTCTACCGCTGTACCTCTCGCATTTTTCCGCGGTAGAAGGAATCTGCTGGCTCCGGGTTGTACTAAGAATAAGTTCTCCTTACCCGCTGGCTGTGTCTACCTCCCTCCTAACGCCAAGGAGAATTTTGATTGTTTACTCCCACTGGCGTTTCATGCTGCGGCCGACTTAAGCTTTAAGAATCAATTGGTTGCGGGTGACTTCACTCTTCCAGAAGTCGGCTGGTCTCCGCCTTCCTGCCCCAGAATATTCGAAGAATTTCTCGAGGCTGTGGATGTTGGGATGTGGAGTTAGGATGTCGATTTTCCACCCGAGGATCAAACATACTTGACCCAATTTCCTGTAGAGGCTGCATGTCTTTGTCAGTGTCATCCCTAAGCCCACTCGTGAGCTCAGACCATGACATAGTTGGTTTAACGTTAGAACTCGAGGCGGACGAGGCGTTATCCTCGACTTCCGATCAGCACGCTTGATCGAATTATAAACACACCTTAATTCCTATGATTGGACTGATTTCTTCTTTAGTTCGTATGTAAATGTTAGCACCGATAAACTTAACGAAATTTCGGATCCGCTTATTTCTCGTTTTGATCCACGTAAGAAAGTAATTGTTGTCAGGGATGTGGTTTTCCTACCTTTACTCTTTCGCACAGGTTCCGCAGACTATCTCTTTTATTCCATCTGTAGAACGACATTTCCGTTCAACCCTTGATTTGTGATATTCTTGAGCGGGCTAAGAGATTATCTGATGAGAAACAGCTAGCTGAAGAGGACGAATTCACTGAAAACCGTTCGTTAAATGTCTGGAAACTTTTCTACCGAAAAGTACGAACCCACAGAAATACGCAGCATCTCACCCTCCGAAACGCTCTCGGAAATCCTATAGCTGATATCCAGTTGACCACCGGTAGTTTCAATGCTTTCCTGTCCAAAACGTTAAATAAAAGTCGACCACTTCGCTTCCGCATCCGACCATCCAGGTATTGGCCGGGGCAGTTCTCGAAACTATAACTTTCACTCTGTGGGATGTGCCTGTTGCGATTCGGTGTTTTCGTCAATCTCATACCATAGGACCTGATGGTGTCCCAGTAAGCATTCTAAAAGCGGATGAAAATGCAATTTTCCCATACCTCTTATGCAATATATTTAACCTCGCTCTTGAAAATAAAACCTATCCTACGTTGCGGAAGGAATCACACATTTTTCCCATTCCCAAGCATGGCAAACCTACGTTATTTGATGACTTTCGGCCAAAAATCACCCTCTCCACAGCTTCGAAGATCTTATAGACATTAATCAAAGATAGAGCGATGTGTTACTTAACAGAGAATAATCTACATGTCGCTGCACAGCATGGATTTCCTAATGCTCGATCCTGTGACTTCTGTCAGCTCTCTTTCTCTGACCATGTTCTCCAATCTATGGGAAATGGTATTGCACTTTACACAGTGTATTTCGACTTCACTAAGTCTTTTAATTGTGTCGACCATGCTCTTCTTCTCTTGAAACTGTCCTCTTTCGGCATAGGTGGCAAACCTATGAATTTGATATCCCCTTACCTGGGCACTCGCACACAACGAGTTAAGATTTCCCCACACGTGTGAGGAACGGAGTCATTCAGGGTAGTGTACTCGGTCCGCTATTATTTCGTCTTTTTGTAAACGATGCACTAGATTAATTTCAGAATGGCAAGCCCTTTATGTGTGCCGATGATCTGAAAGTTGCACATCGATATAAGCCGGCAGATCTTGACATCATGCTCCAGCTCCTAAAGAGCGACCTACAGGCCCTTGCCCAGTGGTGCCGCACATGGCGTCTTTCTTTTTCTCGGCATAAGTGCTCAGTCATGGTGGTTGGCGACGACCGCCAACCTCAAATAAGCATTGAAGGTCACGCCACAAATGTGCCTGGGGTTATTAAGGATCTGGGCGTATCATACTCCAAGAGTCTCAATCTCTCGGAGCAATGTGCCTTGATAGTCTCCAAAGCACGTAGAACGACCGGGTTTATCCTCTGAAAATTTAAAACTAGGGACATTAGAATGTGCCTTTACAACATTTACGTTAGACCTGGTCTGGAATACGATTCGTTTTTATTTAGCCTCATGCGTGCTGCTGAGCGGAAGAAAGTAGAATCCGTCTAACCATCTTTTACCCAGAGAGTTTTAACCCCGGATCACCGACATTTGTCTTACCAAGAACTTTGCCAGCTTACGGGCCTTGGTTCTTTCTGGTTTCGTAGATTCCGAAAAGGACTATTTTTGCTACTTAGGCTTTTATATAATCGTACATTTAACCTACCCATTACATCTTGTCCACTCCCGACGTAACCGTCATCGTGAGGTCTTTTCTTTTCTTCCTCTGGCACGCACCGTTAAATATCGTCGGTTCTTTTCTGTAAATGCAATTGCCATTTGAAATAAACTACCCAGGAATGCGAAAACTCTGCAAAATTATCCTTTATTTAAGAGAACTAGTACTCCTTTATTGTATTCAGAAAAACTTCCACAAACTGTGGTGCTGAATCTACTGATCGACTAGACCGTACCGACGGCGTTTGTGGTCTCTGATCTTTGTGGCCGGTCTCACCAGAGACGTTTTCTTTAGCCAACGGCGACAGCTGTTCTTCGGTGCTTCTGTTTGGACGAGTCCCAACTTCATGGAAAGGATTGTCGACTGATAATATCCGATGCAGTGCTACCTCCCATTTCTTGGCTGTCAGCATTATATGGGCAACAGTTTTATTCTCCTGAACCTTCCGACGTTGAGGTTGACACCTACGGACAAGGAAGCGTCTTCGGTTATTTTTAATTTGCAGGAATACTGAATACAGTTACTACCCTGCCAGCACCAGCCCCCTCTGGCCCCCTCATGGCCCCGCCTCATGAGGGGGCTATGGCGGGGCCAGAGGGGGCTATGAGGGGGCTGGAGAGGGGGCTATGGCGGGGCAAATCCCCGATGCGGCCCCCTCTGGCCCCCTCATCGACAAAAAAATGCGCAGGGGGACGCCTTATAGTTATCGTTTTTTGCCCCCACCCACGGCCATATTAGACTGTCTGACCGTAATAGCGATCCATTAACGTCTAATTACTCGCGTTATAATCCTGATCACCCTTTTCCTAGACAGATTTTCCCCGCTATCTGACCAAGACATATGTCTTGGTCCCATTCAAGAGGGGGCCACGTGCTGGCAGGGTAAGCGACATTTCGATCGTCGATTTCGACTATGTTTACCGTGTGCTCCATAGCAAGGTGAGAAAAGGGACAGTGACTTGCGCGTTAGTTAGCTTGCAATGATACTAGACTTTCGTTTCCTCTACCTGCGTCCGGCGTCGTACCAAGTCAAAAGACCGGAAGCGGAAGAGGCCGCAGGTAGCTAGCACGGCATTAACCCGCGCCTAGGCGTACAACCACATCCCCCCAGTTCACAACAAGTATGGGGACCGCAAGCGGCGTGAAGGCAAGAATCGACCACGCGCTGTGATCGAACTGTTTTGGCACCACAAACCGGGGGGGGGGACATATTATACCTTGCCATCGCAGCAGATTTTTTTGCACTCCTGTCTAAATAGTGTACTTCTTTCTGACACAGGAAAAAACTGTGTTATGTGGTCAGATGATGTCTAATTTACTTTGGGAGAAAATAAGGACAGTGGGAGGGAAAAAGGAGGAGTATGGTTCCATGGGATCCTCATACGGACGGTAGGGGGAGTTGTAGAGAAATTTAATAGATGACAAGCTCAGCATTCCGCTCCCTTTGCGGGTGACGGTGATTGGGGTTCGGGTCTCGCGGAATATCTGTCTCAGAGAAGGAAACTGTTTAAATGACATTTAAGTGTACATCTAGTAAAACCTAGGCAATTTCATGGTAATAATGTCATGTTGTTTTTCATATTCTAATGACCAGAAGCGGCTATTTCATGTTGGTGCGCTTAAATTTACTATAATGCATCGTCTCCTCTTTCCTCGAATCCTTCGATGTGGACTGGCCCATTCGCATATCAGGTTCCGGCTGGTTCCACAGCGCGCCTGGAATGTCTGGAGCAGACGCAATGCACATTCTTATCTTTGGCTCAGAACACACTATACGGACCTCCTATGTGTACTTTGGCACGGGAAGGTCTGCCACCTTTTGCATGGAAGCAAGTGCTCTTAAAATACAAAAAATCTTTAGGATTTTGATCCTTAACTTCATTAGTGGTCTACACATACGACCGTGGAGCGAAAGTACATCGCAGGTAGCAGCGAACCGAACGGAGTTAAAGTTGGAAAATCCATAACAAAAGCATTGCCAGACAATGTAAACAAACGTAAGTTTTCAAATATTCATCCTCGGGGCTGTACATTAATATAAACTACGGTAAAGAGGTCAAAGCCGAAAAACAGAATGTGATAGGGATTTATGAAAATCCCTAGCCTGAAAGAGAGTAGGGGCATAACGGAAGCTATTACTTCGTAACTTTTGTCGTTTTTCAGGCTAATCCTAACTCGCGCACGATCAAGCATTTAGGCTACTTAAAGTCATTTCATTGTTGTTTTGTGCCAAGAAGCACCCCAGCAGAGAGTTCGACAAGCTGGCTGAGCGGCAAACAAGAAAATCCCATTGACATTGCCCAAGCTCCGTTTATTGACGTCGACGCAAGTCATTTCCCCAACCTAATTTAAAGTTACCGTATTAAACGAATTCTACACAAAAATCCTCAAACAGGTACTTTTTAGCAACTGCTCTTCGCTTAGATGTGGTTCGTCACATCTGTTGACGTTTCCTCAGCTGATCAGGCGTCAGGTCTAGAAGATGTTTCACACAATAACACGTGCGCATAAGCGTTTTCGCGATATAACTAGCGCAATTATCGCGTGACATGAGCTTACGGCAGTTGCAGTAATGTTAGTAAAAAAAATCAACCGCGGCCTTCAAGATGGGTGCAGAGTAATGACTAACAGTGCGTTGCACGAGTCTTGCTGGCAATGCACTGCATGCCAGAGAAATTCGCGCAGCCTCCCCTTATGAGTCTACAATAAGGCAGTATCGATTATTCGCACGCCTGGCCCGTAGTTCTTAATTTGAGCAAAAACAGGAAGTCAGAGAGACACATTTCTGGCTGCTCAAGGTCTTCTACCCTGCAATGTCTCTCGCTGGATGGGTTATACTGGAATAACCGACTGGGTTTTCACCTGCCGGATTTTTATTGCGTCAGTGTATATAGCTCTGTAAGTACCCCATGCAGTTTACTTTGCTCTCTGCCCTAGGAAAATTTAAATGCACTCCTCTATTTTTGTCTTGATTTGTGGAATCTCATTTAGACAGAACTCTTTATCATTAAGACTTGCTTTTGTTAGCCAATACTACACTAGGCCATCCTTCTCTCAATTTTAACGAAACAATTTTGTTTAGGATAATTTTGCCGTGGTTTTGTGAAGAACCAATTTACTCCACAAATTTGGCTTACATTTTTGTCTGGACAACGAGTGCACTTTTGATAGGTTTCGCTGAATAAACCATGTAGGTCAGTTAATTTGTTTAATCGTCATTGCTGTTTTCCTGAAACTTTGTTTTGACATTTGGTTTTCACTGCCCTATCTTGTAAGAAGTAACACAACTTTTGACGACTGGCTTATGATTATTCACTCATTGTTAAAGCGAATTCGGCAAAATGTTCCTCACTCATGCACACCAAAACTTTGTTATTGTCAAATTAAGTAATTATCCTTGGATCAGATATATCAAGCTGCCAATTTTGTCAAAACCCCAAACGTAATTCTATACCCACTAGAATTGTTTCTAACAGCACACTTAGCCCAGGCACTATGACAGCGGTATGAATGCTACTGAAGGAGATGCAACTTACCAGTGAATCTGTATGGATTAATGTCGACAACAGTGCGTTCCCGAACAAGAAGTCGGAGAGACAACGTTGACGGGAGGGCTCCTATCCAACCAAAGACGGATGAGGCTGGTAAAGAGGTCAGAAAGGAGTAGACGACTGACATTTATTAGATTCGCATCAGTACCATGCTACTGATTGAACAGTCAGTAAAGGACAGAGAGAAGTGTATGCTTCAAGTTACCATTGACAATGACGTGAACAACGGAGCACGCGAATAGTTGCCGCTTCAAGTAAATCCTTCTACATCGAGGGTTGACACATAAGAGTGTTCGGGATGAAAATTAAATGGAGGATTGGTTCGTGTCTTGTTAACGGGTTAGATGCATCCATGTCCAAGCATTGACAGTCCTGCAAATGGGTGATTAAGCGACACCCTCAGTACCGAGCCTGCACTTTGATCCCGTCCTTGATTGGTAGATTTCGCTAAGAGACCTACCGTGGTTTATTAAAAGAGGAGCAGATAGACGCACGGAAACTGTGACGAAATTGAGGGGAAGTTGTTATTGTCCGTGATGACCAACATGTCACTAGACTGGAGGTCTCCACTCTGGTGTCTACTGAAACAGCTGATCTGACGATATTCGGTCATCAGATCAGGGAGAGTGTTTCCATTCTTGCATAAAGGAACGAGTCCGCGGGATTTGATGGAGTGCTAGCCGTTCTATTTGTTCCTCTATGTGGTCGACGTCTGAAATGAACTGAGAATTTACTAGATAACTTCAGACTGAACGAAATTTAAAGGTCGGATTAGCACCATATGGATGAGGTTTAAGCGGCTTTGGTCCGTGAAGATAGCCAGATATCTTGGGGGAAATACGAACGCCTATTTTACATGACAGATGTTCATAATGTCACACACAAACGCGCTGTAACGAGTCTTGGCATACAAGCGGAGCAAAACTTCTGTTATGAGGGCTTCCAACTTTTTTAAGGCAGCTCTTTCAAAGTGCTCAATAAAATCAAACTACTTTCGGGGCAAATAATGTGTTCTAACTCGATCCGAGGTTTAATGGATATTCTTCTGGGTTTCTGTCACGAAATAAGGAGATTCTATAGTGCATTTTGTGATTAAAACATCGGACGGTCGTAAAACATTTATTCGTCCTATTCAGCTAATTCCGCCTAACGTCAGACCTGAAGGACACAGGGTTTGGGCCCTAGCCCTATGATCATTGGCAGTTTAAATCGGGCGGATTTACATTCATGTGTCGGCCGTTGTGTGGGCTGTTATGGAAAGTGTTGGGGAAAATGGAAGCCACGTTCAATAACCTACTCAGATATGAACGAAAAATGGAAGATTTATCTTAGCCGTGGTGCTCTACATTAAAGTCCTCGCAGGTGGTTGGATTTCGACGAAAATCCACGATCAAAAATGATGTCGCGAAAAGCAAAGACTAGAATAGTTATATATGGCTTATATTGTCTCTCACAGTTGTCAGACAATAAGGCCATTGTTGTGTTAGTCAGGCGTTTTAATTTGTTTTTCCTTTATACAGGCAGTGGGAACTTAGTTTATGCGGTTGGATTTACTGACAATATGCAAACCAGAAATAATCTCTCTAGTTTGTCATTTATACGTGTTGCACATTGACATTTTCTTTGCGGATTCTTGATATTCTTAACTTAGAATTCGACTTGCCCGGGCAGTAATTTTTTCGTCATGATGCTTTCAGTAATGCAACATACAAGTTATTACTTTCATAGGCGTTGTCCTTTACACATCGTTAAGCTTCAAAACGGCAAGATTTCATCTTTGAGCAGTCTTCTGTCGATGGGCGCAAAAGTAAAACTACCTTGACCACGCTTTCTAGAATTGACAGATTTGCGCTCTTTTAATTTTTATTTTTAACCCTCAAATCATTCCTCTTTATTTAAGAGAAGTTAGATGATGACTTCTAATTTTACCTGACGAATACCTAGAGCCACGATTCTCCTATTTCTGTGGGAGCCTCAGAATGTGGAGGCAGGCCCATTTGCAGGCTCTCACCGCACCCAGAGAGATTCCTACCGCCACGAATTTTCTGTATTTTTTCGAAAGTCCCGTTCAGGCGTGTTTTGCCGTTATAGCCCAACGGGTAGAAAGAAGAGAAGAAAGCCTGTTCTAGGAAAGCAACCACTTTATTATCAGCATGTGACCACGGGTCAGGTAGACGCCTTATTTATGTTGGCCCCTGTGCGTTCTGGAGCATTCCGACCAATGGTGTGTCAGCCGTTAAGAACGTTCCAGAACATTCCTGCTCGTGGCGTGCCGGTCGCGGGTCGGCCATTGCGTGCGCGAGAATCTCCGCGCGGAACTGTCTCGAATATTCGAACAGCCATTGACTGGACCGCACGCTTGGGCAAAGCCACCACACGTGCTCCGCATTGCAGTACGCGCCGGTTGGCTGTCTAACTTCACGCGTGTATCACGCCGCCGGCATGGGCCTCTGTTCAGCGCGTGGTCGAGTCTTCCCTTCACCTTAGTCCTTGCCTTCACGCCGCTTGCGCCCTCCATAACTGGTGTAAACCGGGGGGTGTGGTGGTACGCCTAGGCGCGGGTTAATGCCATGCCAGCCACCTGCGGCCTCTTCCGCTTCCGGTCTTTTTGACTTGGTCACGACGCCGGACGCAGGTAGATGAAACGGATGTCTAGCATCATTGCAAGCTAACTAACGCGCAAGTCACAGTTCCTGCTCTCACCTTGCTAAGGATCACCCGGTAGACATAGTCGAAATTGACGATCGAAATGTCGCTTAGTAACTGTATTCAGTATTCCTGCAAGTTAACAATAACTGCAGACGCTTCCTCGTCCGTGTGTGTCAACTTCAACGTCGTCAATCACTACGACCTAAATTGAACGGCGTCGATTAATTTATACGACGCGACTGATTAGTACAGTTGTCAGTACTGATTACTGGAAAAGCAATACGGACTAGAGGTAGGAAATGTGCGGAGGTCAGTATCGTTGAATGTTATCCAACATCTCCTTATGGCAGTCTTTGTATTATCTCTTGACATTATATAAATTTTAAAAAATGCTGAAAAATGCCCTATCTAGTCTTACGTGCGCAGGTTCTGCGCGGGTAAGTTGCCGCTTTGTTGGTATTTTCTTCTAAAAGTTTTGTCAGAAACCAAAAAAAGAGGAGAGGTGGATTACGTGTTATTGTGTGTTTTTTATGCGATTATTTTTTTTAATTTTTGCTCAAGCGTTTTTATAAGTTTATAACCTGGTGTTGTTAGCTTTTTAGATCCCCTTTGCTCCAAGTTCTATTTTAGTGAACCAATTTAAAAGGCGTCTTACCTTATTCAAAAATATATGGCAAGTCGTAAAATTCAAAAGGTTACTCATTGTGATGATACTGAACTACTTAAAAATGTTTGTCTATTTATCGGGAGTTACAAGCTGCGCAATGTCCGGTTAGCACGTTATCAAGAGCGACTTTATGGATTATGAAAATCCGGGATGAGAGAGGGAATAATTTGAAAAGTCTCGGCCACTTTGACGGATTTGTTAAAGCGCCAGGTATCAAATAGTTTACTAGCCCAGCTGATCAGATGTTCTTCGGCCTAAATCTAGAACTCTTCATCTGAGATATCCCCGGTTGAAAATGTTTATGGGACAGTATCTTTGATCAGACCAAAGCATCTTTAATAATGGGAAACAGGCGAGGGCGAATTTGCAGCAACCAAAGCTGTTCATTCACCCACTCACCCAATCGGTCATACCATAACTTGAGTCCTTATGCCATTATGTGGCCTAACAGTTTAGTAAGCAGTCCCTTTGCTCCTAGACAACAAAGAAGGGTGTCAAATTTTAAGGTTGCTCCACGGTAGCAAATTAACGACGAAAAGAACACTCGGAACTGTCATTTCAGTCAGTTCTGTGTTTTAGCGACCATGATAGCGTATGGCTGTGACTGCCAAAAGTGTGGTGATTTGGTATGTTTGCCATTCTCGGACGAAGCAGCGGTTGTTCCAATTACTGTAGAGAACTGATAAAGCTTAACAAACTGGCGCCGCTTAAAACCTACTGAGAACCCTTTGAATTGCGACACACCTCACGTGAGTGCTAAAAACATTACTCTTCCTCCTGGCCCCGACGCACTACCTGATTGGCAGTTCCCGTTTCGAAGGGTGGAATGAAAAGAATTCTATCAGGAAAACCTTTCCGCCAATTAGTGTAAGTGCGGCATCGTCCTTGATTATATGCCTCATATCTCGTCAGATGTGTATTCAGTGAGTCGCAGGGCCAAACTGCACAGCAACTCGAAGATGGGCTGCCACCACAGAATCGCCTACCTTTTCCTCTGTCTACTTCATATAATTATTTTAATCACATTGGCGTTGACACTAGTAGGTTGCGGAAGCATTTACGTCACCTGCCCCTGCGGTGAGTTTGTACATCGTTTACATCCACTTGCCTTGTTTGACGTACACTGTGATTTAACAATTTTAGGTAGGCTTCTAGTTTTATTTGAAAATATGAGCAACATGATTTTCTACTAACAGGCTTCAGGATACACCAGTCACAAGGAATGAAAGACCCAGAAATAAGAAGGGAACTGTTGATTTAGCCTGCAAATGGATCATCCTAAAGCTCTTGCTTAAACCGGAAATTACACGTTTATTCAAGAAAGGCAACAACCGTTGGTTAATTTAGAACGGCAAATAAATAATAAGTGGATAGTTTGTACACTCTTTCTTCGCGGGCATTATCCTTGAAGAGCTGGCTGTTCATCGCTCTGCTGAGTCTTAAAATCTTAATCTTAATAAAACGAAACGGTGGATTTCCGTTCTAGTGTGGAATCGGTTCAGTGAGGCTCAATTTCCACACAGGACGGGCGTTGTTAATAGCTGCTGACAGAAGGCTAACTCGTAGCTTTGTGTATCGTGTGTTTCTTATTCGAAAAACTACCCTGACAAATGTCTCAAATCGTATGGCGTGGAGATTGGAAAAGTACTTCAAATAACAAAGTCAACGCATAACAGAGCATGATGCTAGGAGCTTTACTAAAACGAATTTTTCCGCTAACAAACTGAACCCTCCTGTCATCGAACCCGTTTCCGACAATATTTGTTATTTCGTTAGGGCCATATTTTTTAAGATTACCAAAACCACTGACTTCAGCGCCTATTACCATCTGCTTCCCTTTTATTTATTTTAGGAACCGGAATTTTTCCAAGTTCTTTTCAAGGATGCAGTCTAAACCTAAAAGATAATGGTACGTTGTAGTCATTTGAGTAGATGTTATTTATCCCTATCAGACAGGTAAAGCAACAGGTAGGCATTTCTGAGTGTTAGTTCATTTCCGCGACAATAATAAAGCAAAAAAGACACTTTATTTGGCAGACAGTATATGCAGTACCGAGAAGACGGAGACCTTATAAATACCAATGGTGTAATTATGAAACACATATCTCGTGAATAGCAGCGCTTAAATGGGAAGAGTATGTGAACCTTACCCTTTTAATAGCATTTGGTTAGTTACGCGGTTTGCTTTACGCTCATTTATTCCTCAATTTAACTTTGAGAACAAGTTTGAGATCTCGAAACGCAATTCCCACTAATGGCTTCTGAGATGGTTGCACACAATAACGGTTCCCTAGGTTTTAAGCATTAAAAACATTTTTAAGCAGTTTAATCTGATTGCGCACAGAGGCGTTTACCCCACTTGCATTCCTATTTAGCGGCTGATTTCACATGTTAAAATCCGAGGTCAAATCTGAAATCTGTGCGCACGCCCGTGGGGTTTATTAGAAGTTTTTAAGAAGACCGACTGCCACTGAGTTTTAATCTCAAGCTTAAATTCAAGGTAAACAGCGAAAAAGCCTACTAGCCACCACAGTTAAGAACAGATGAACCTGATAACTGTAGAGGATCAGTCTGGACCGCTAATGCGGCGATGTTCTAAATCAAACAGGCGCGCAGGCGAACATTACAGACACTTTGGTAGCAGACGATATCAAGTGGGTTTGGTCATGTTAATCTAAGTCATATTTGGAAAAGTACCACTCAGGATTTAATGGGTCACTTCAAAAGGGTAAATGAAGTTTTAAGCGATATTTTGCATTTGGCGGTTTCGGCTACGAGGAACTTCCAATGTCAAATGATATATCTTATAGTAATTCCAGTTTGTGCTTTTACATTCAGTTAAGTCGCCTATGAATCCTTTCGCACAATTCTTGGGCGCAGGCATTTCTAGCTGTTTGTAACCTGGCAAGTCATTTTATAAAATTGCAATAAAAATATTGTCTTCATAGTGAAGCCCTTATCAGGCCACTACTAATTCCCAAGTATTCAACTACCCTTGTGACTTGTCGCTCGAGTCCTTTATCCTTTTATGGCGTATTTCTTAGAGGAAGCAGATTAATTACTGGTGGGGCTAGAAAAAAAGGTCTGGGGGTAATGCTATGGCACTCACTAGCTACACTTTCAAATATATCTGATAGGTGTGACACATGCTGAATAAAGTATTAATAAAAGTATTCAAAATTTTCTGTTGCCTACCCTTAAGGAGACGAGCTAGAACTGAGGGCATGATGTAATAGCGTTTCTTTGGGAATTTGCTTGTCGGGGCAGTTAACTCGCATGAAATGCTCACTTTTAGACCGGTCTAATCCCTTCTGGCCGTGAATTATAATTCTCCAAATGAAAGCTTGTGATGTTCGTGAATTGGTGAGTGCACAAAGTTGGTTGTCTTGGCGTAGACGCTGAAGACAATCGTTCGCAAAAGTGTTCTTTAGGAATTCATGAAAGGGAAATTTGTAGACATCACTCAAGTATGTCAGGAAGGGTTTCTAGGTTCAGCTTCAACGAAATCCCATTTTTATTAGATTTATCCAGTTCAAGTGAAGGCAAGAGTGTTTAATTAAAATAATGGTAACAAAAACAGCATCTACCTCTGTGTGACACTTTAATGACCGGAGCTGATTGCAGTTACGCTGTGGACCACAGCAATTCGACGCAACACCTCTTTGTACACTAAGCTGGCATGCGCGGTGGCGGCAGATAAGTATACGTGTCTGAGTACAATTTGTACTGCAGCTAACTTTGCTGCCGTGAAACCAGGGCTATTCGCTCAGGTTCAAGTTGGTAGACTCAAATACCTAAAATAGGGATCAATTCTCAAAGTTTTTGCTTAATGCAAGACACATTTTGCACAGAATCACTAACAGCTGGTTCTCCCGGTGTTTCACCTTGAAGTAACACTGGCTGCGGAGAGCAAGGATAACTGTTTGCGAATTTGCACCAGCCATGCTTAGATGCTTTCACAGTTGTGTCCCGTGATATCCACAGAAAAGCACAAAAAAGTTGAAACAAATAAAAAACTACTGAGGGTTATATCGGAAAAAACACGTCACATGTACCAGATTAGAAATCTGAAAAGACTAAACTAAGACCCTGCATATATGAGGCCTGTGACTTGCACGCAGGTAACTTAAGTTCATCAGTGGTGTTACGGAATGCACCTGCAGAGTGCATTTGAAGAAATAAGGGAACGTGTGAAATACTTCAACATCTAGTAACTGTTCCCCATATTTTATTGACTCGCAATCTTAGTAAATATAGAGGAGGAGAAAATGCCTGTAGTTAATTATCCTTTTCATTTTCCTTTAAAACTCTCCTAAGTTCTGAGTCGTTTGCTTGGAATGAGTAAAGTATTTTCCATGAAACAGTTACCAAGTATGTTCCTGAATGAGAACGGCTGTTGGTGACAGGTGCAGATGCTTTTTTCATCATTTGGAATGCTTTGATTTAAATAAGAAACGCCGCTTGAGGTTAGATCATTTGAGCGGTGAAAGAAAGACTTTACTATGTCTCCCAGAGGATTGTGAAGATTGAATTCGAAGACATCTCTGACAATTTGAGCGTTAGAAGATGCCATAGTAGCAGCATGGGTACTAACTAGTACCTGGACTGATGGCATGCTAATTCATAACGCTAAAATATGCTACTAGCTCCCCGTCGGCAGATCGTGAATATTATGCGGTTATCCCGCTGTGGCTGATAGACTTCGGCCCAAATATTCATGCGTCAAATTTCAGTCTGCGCCTTTAAACCTTAGTATAAAGTCACATACTCCAAGTCAGCCGTTATTTGTTGAGGAAATTGTAAAGTAATGAGCTCTGACAATGTCCACAGGAATTTAGCTGATTTTTATTTGTTTGGCATATCACAGAAGGGATAGCGACCTTTTTCAAGGTATACATGAATCATCATACGACGGTCGTTATTTGAAATTCCTGTTAATGCAGTTAACTCTTTCGCAGAAAAGGAATCATGTTTCTTTATTTTTGAGGATATTAAATGGGTTTCAAAAACGATAAGTAGTAGTCAGTTTAAAAGAATACGGTGGCACGATCACCGGGACAGTAGATTTGTTTGCCTGAGCTTTCGAACTCGAACTGGAGTTCATCATCAGAGACTGTTTGAGTGCAGCAACATGTGAACCTTTATATCGCTGTCCCTTGCGGGGGGAGGGGAGTACGTCCGTGGCTAGGTAAGGTTTGTGCCGCCTGGTTCACGATGGTCCCCCGGCGTGGTGACGCCGTTTGTACTTCGCGACGGCGTGAACTGCGCCACCTGGCTGCGTGGGCGGAGCGCGTGATAACACGCAGGCAAATCGATGTGTCTGTTGATAGAAGTGGTGTCCGACACCCACGCCTCCAACAGTTCTCGCCCTGTCTTGTTGCCGGCTCGCGCCAATATCCGCGTGTTGGCGAAGTCGAACTCATGGCCTTCCTCCAGCGTGTGAGTGGCGACTTGAGATAGTGGGTCTCTTTTCGAACGGTCTGTCTGTGCTCAAGTATTCGTGAGCTGAGACGTCGTCCTGTCTGGCCTGTGTAGTGGCAAGGACAGTTTTGGCACGGGCTTTGATAGACTACGCCCGACTGTTCACCTGCGTCCAGCCGATCCTTCATTTTCATGATCCTGCTACGCATGGTGGCCGCCGGATGATGAGCGATGCCCACGCCTAGCTCTGACGCAATGCTTTCTGTAGCCTCGGACACATTCTTTATGTACGGTAGGGAGTGCCAAATTGTTGGTGTCTCTCTTCCTTTTGTCCGTCGTGGTTGCGTGCGTATGCAGCGACTGATAAAACTATTTGGGTAGCCGTTCTTTGTTAATTGGTCCCGAAGATGCCGTAGTTCTTGCATCCTTCCTTCGGACTCACTAGAGTGCGTTTTTACACGGTCGAAAAGCGCCCTCACAGAGCCCCGTTTGTGCACCAACGGGTGATTGCTATGATAGTTGAGGACCTGGGTTGTATTGGTCGCCTTTCTGTACACTGTAATGTTGAGTTCACCGTCAGGTGTGCGCGTGACGAGCACGTCCAGGAAGGGTGGTTTCTCGTCCTCCTCGTCTTCTCTTGTAAACTGAATGTCGGGGAATATGCTGTTAAGTAAGTCTTCAAAACCCGATAGCTTGTCCTTTTCAATAATGACGCATGTATCGTCCAAGTACCGGCGCCAAAACGCAGGCTTGTAGTGGCTGAAAGCAACCTTTTCCTGCTCTTGTAGGACCAATTCCGCAACTAGGTTGGACATTGGGGAACCCTTGGGTGTTCTTTTGATTTGTTCGTATGTTCTGCAAAGGAAGGTGAAAAAGGTTCGTTGGCAGAATGCAAAGAGCTGCATTAGGTGCTGGATCCTTAGCGGCCCTGTCGTTTCGTCGTACTTTTCTTCGAGGCGTTTGCGTAGCACGTTGTGCGCCAAGTCTGGTGGGATGGACGTGAAAAGTGAGACGGCATCGAAGGATACCATGATTTGGTCGGGTCGAATAGTTTTTCCCTTAATGTCGGCAAGGAATTGGGAGGCCGAATTGACGGACGCCACAGAGCCCTCTCGGAGAAAATTGAGCTTTCAGGAAATCCATTTGACTAAATTGTATGTGGGGCTGTCTTTCAGAGCAACGATTGGCCGCAGAAGAACGTTGGGTTTGTGGATTTTTGGTAGTCCATAGAAACAATAAAAGTAGCTGACATAAGTCGACTGTAACTTTACCCCATTTCTCTGTCTCTGCTATCCCTAAACGTTGAATATAACTCCTGGTTTTTCACGTTCCATAGTCTTACTTAGCGGGGGAGAATGCGTGCCTAAATGTCCCCCAAACAGATTAACTTTTAATACAAACATAAAAACGAACTAATGAAACAAATAATTAACGCTTGCTTCTAAACTTTCTTTGAATAGGCAAACGAACTTGAGAATAGCTCAAAATGTGGTGAATATCTACCGCCTAATACCGCACCTCTTCGCGTTTTAAATAGGCAAGATTTATTTACTACCGTTCGGGTTATATTTTGCACGATAGACCACATTATCATTGCATTTAATTTGCATAATTGGCTTCTTAGTCTAGATAATAAAGCAATTTGCTTAAAAACGTCATTGAACCTGCACTATATTTTATAAGTATTTCGATAAAGAACTAAAATGTAAGTATACCATACTCTGATTTTACTGCAATACGTTATTTATAAGGTCACATTTTTCCATTTATTACAATAAGGGTGAGATTACAGCACTCCATCTTGCTCGCGGTGCTTTGCGTTTTATGTATAGAAATCTGTGGGTTCTTATTTCAGTATGACTTCAAACAGATGTGGCCTTCTACACCTTAGTACTGAAAGATGAGTTTTTTGTCCTTACTGCTGACGAGAAGACATAATGCCATGTAATTTTATTTGCAGTTGTGTCTTCTAGCTAAAATACTAGCTCCTTTAAAAGAAATCAACAATTGCTCATGTCTCCTGCTTCGTTTCCTGACATGTCGGGCAGTCGCCTCACGGAATATTTAAAGCTGTAAATGAGAGTATATTTGCTGTCATTCAGTATGTTAATGTTTTTAAATCGCCGTTGTACAATACTCCACTAGAAAACCTTCTTGGAATTTATAAATTTCAGGCATCTTTTAAACTGTAGTCCCACAGTGTGAGCCGTTAAAGCTCGGACCTATAGACAAGTTGAAACCAACTTGCCTATGAAAGTTAATTAGGTTTTTTGTCACTTCTCAGCAGTAGATGTCGGTTGATTTTGACGGATATGTTTCACAAGCTTTCAACTGAATCGGCCTTCACGCAGTGATACTAGAACGTGATATGCGATGTGTCAGAACGCCAACACCCTGCCATTCTTTGGTGACAGGTAAAGCTGCATGGAACACATATGAAAATCTGTCGACGTAAAATTTAAAAAATTGCAGCAGTTTGTCCCCGGTAGGAAGCTGAAGTAGGCAAGAAGGGCAGAATTTATTGGCACCAAAAAATTTCGCGACGGCTCTTCAGCTGCGTCCTGTCGCTTCAAAAATTTGGTACCGTGTTAGATTGGTACTCACGAACTTCACGCAAGAAGAAAATGACTTTTATTAGCGCTATATTCCAAGGTCGTAATTCCTCAATTGTCGCGGATATACGACATCTGAACATACCTTCATTTCTTAAAGGAGACTTCTGTATTCTCATTAATTTTTGCAATTTTTGAGGAAAAGATTTTCAAAAATAAATTTGGATATGGCCAGTTTTGCAAATCATGTCTGACTTTAACTGACTGCGGAGAAGTACACTAAAACGTAGACGAGTATTGGCCACTAGAAGAACCCATGTCATATCTATCCGAAGGCTTACAACGGTTCATGCCCGCCTTTAACACAGTACATAAGGAAACATTCAAATTAGTCACCCCCTGTCAATCTTACGTTCTTATACGTACTCAAATCCGAAACAGCTAGATCCATAAAAGTACGTTATGGGCAGGTGGAAAGGTGCATTTTGCCACCTGTCAGGTGGGATATGAGTTAGGGTAGAATTCAGTGCTTGCATCTTTTCCAATTTAGGTAATATATCAGTGGGAAAAATTGTTTTCCTCCTCGGTGTGGTTCTCAGTGTTGTCGCTTTTGTGCTTATACTCTTGAGCATATGCAAATGCAAGTCAATCAAGAAGTGGAAGAAGTCCATCAAAAAGCGTTTCAGGTGGATCTTCATTGTTCTCCTTTTAATGGGTAAGCTACGTTTATCTGTTTTATGATAATGCTTTAAAATACTGAATCGATCCCCTGGAATGCATTTTAAACTTAAATGAATTATAGCTGTTGGGATTTAATCAGCATCGTGCGGGAGTTGAGAGGAGACGGCATGCCAGTCAATAACAGAAGGCAGGAAACTCCACGAGCTAAAATGTCTCACGAAACATTACTTGAACAGCAGAAGTCGGCTGCCTGAAGAAGTCGAGGGATGCCAGATCATGTTTTTAAAAACAATTATGACACTAAGGGTTACCAGGTCGATTATTTACCAAACGTTTATACTGAATTTAGATTGGGTGGACGAGAAATTTCGTTACAAATTTTTCTTTGAGAGTCCTTACAAGCAACAGGAACTGAATACGCAAAAGACACGTCTGTTAAATTAATTAACGACACGTTTTGCAGAAAACTCCGGTAGCGAAATTTGATTAGATGCACCGCATGGGTCGAGAAGTCCTGCAGAAATGACCGAAATTAAGTCATACGGTTTACTTTACAAAAAACGAAAAGTCGAGAACTTCGGGTTGGTATTTGGAGAAAAAAGAAGAGCTTACCGAACCAGATTTACTAGCGTGTTGACCTTTTTGAGAGCTTCGTCACCCCACCATTTTCAAAGCTCTCTATATGCAAAATCTAACAGAAATGGAATTGGTTTGCCGTGATAGTCGGGCTGAGGCTGACCAATATTTTCCTCATGTTACCAGGGTCACTTCAAGGAGGCTTGGTGGACTTGTCAGCTGCGTGAGTTATGAATCCTGGTTTCGGTGGGGGTATTTGAGTCTGCGGTAGGCAGTCGGCCTGGTGACTCTTTGTCTCTGCCGTCGGGTGAGTTTAACGTCGGGTTGTGTCCATGCGGTTTTCTCAGGTTTCCGTGACCGTTTTGTCCTGGTGTTTGTGTACGCAGTGAAGGAGGACTTTATAAGTTAGAGGATAGCCGAGATTCCTATTGACTGAGGTGGCATCTGATCACCACGATCCTAGTGCTATTCGCTCTGCCCTTGAATTTTTTTTGGCCTAAGCTGGCCGTGCGTTGAGGTCGAAAATATTGCCAGATCTTTCAATATTCGTTGCAGGCTTGGATTTCGGGTCTTACCTCCGAGTTGCCAATTAGTTCTCGTGTAGGTAATTCTCCAATCGTCATCCGGTTTCCTCAATGTAGTTCTATTCCCCATCATTATAGCTTATTTTGTAAACAACCGTCCAAGTTTGGGCGAATAGAGGCGTGTCCTTAGGTTACATCAAACGCTGACGGATCGCTGCCCGGAGATGTTGAACTGCTTCTACTCTGGCGAGTTGTAGCAATCGAGAAGTCGCCTCAGGGCCTCCCTTACTGTTGTGAATTGTTCTCCAAATTTCGAGTTGTTGCTCCTTTGGCCGGCATTCGTTCGCTCGACGTCTGATTCTCTCAACAAAATAACTAAGATATCCATTGGCTACGAACAGGTTCTGGAAGTATAGTCGTTCAGCTCTATTGTCTGCTGGCGTGTTGCTGGGCTTTGATTCTTTAAAAGAAGGTAGACACCGACCTTATTTTTCATATCAGTAAACGTTTCAAAATTGCATAATATGAGATATTATTAAAAATCCATTTTACACTGCCCTTTGAGTTTGCATCTTCTTCGTCACTTGTATAGGTTACGCATTCAGGAAAACCTGCGTACTTATTGCCAGCGTGCCTTATTAAATTGTTAGATCTGCAAAAAAGCAACGGTATTTTCTAGAAAATGACATCCTCTCTATTTTTTTGCCATAAGCGAGGGTTTCTCCCTTTTGTAGTCCTTCGAAATATAAGTCGGTTCTGGGGGTCGGTATTATTCTTGACTCATTACCATAGGTAATAATGAAGTCGATCGTGAGGCATGCAGCACAGATGATAGCATTATCAATATTTCGTGTAAATCCGGTGGTCTCTTTATATTCAAATGCAAACATGTACGAAGTTAGTTTGTTCCAACCCACGTCTTTTTGACAAAATCCTTATGGAAAAATGAAAGTAAGGACTCTGTTCCGAAATGTACTAGAAATAATGTACATATTTTAGTCTTCAACAATCTTTCTTGCAAGCGCATTTTTCGAAAGCTTCTTACTGCTTAAAAATGAGCCACATAGGTAATTTATTACTATTTTGGGAGCCTACAGTGGGCTATACCAAAACTGAAAATGTTTCAAAGTAGTACAAATCAACGAATGCTGATTTCTTCCTACTGTTATTTTTACAGGTGTTTAGTGCTTTGTTAGAAGTCAATATTCTGCAACGAAAAATTCGCCAACCTTTTTACCAAACGTAGTCAATTTTACATTTTTCCGCTTGGCGGCACAACAAAAAATACAAGTTAATATATTATAGATAAGCTGCGCACTGTACGCTTGCTTCAAAGACAGTTTTAACTGAACTATTGAAACAACTTTTACATTGCATACTCACCAAAGGCCACAGCCACCGAAATTCGAGGATGTACATGCCTTGTCTTTGTCACGCTTAAGTCGGTAGGTTTTAAAGTATAATTAACAAAAAATACAGAATCATCCAAAATGGTGACAGCTGGACAAATTATGTTGAATTAATTTACACTTAAAGGCAGTGCATCCATAAGGAGTGGTCATTAATGTATATATCGTTATGTTTCGACGTAGATAACCGAGAGGGAAGGCGCCAATTTTATGCGCTTTCGTTAACAAGTCATGACTGAATCATACGCCAAAAGAAACGGACTTGTGAACTCGGTCTAAGTGTCCCAAATCCAACTCTCTAGCGCCGATAAACATCGACGGGGGTCTTTGCGTTGTTGGCTGCCTGCCAGCATGCTGAGTATTGCAAGGGCTCTGGACCAAAATCTCCGTGTAATGTCCTACCCGTCCATCATACCCGTGATCCCCACTCGCACGCTAATCAACCTGTTGTCGCCTACAGCCGACCAAATTGACGCTTGTCGCAGTATCTAAACTTCAAAATTTAAAGTGCCTACATCACATTCATTCATAGCGTGGGGATTCGGCTGAGTGACGTTTGCAGCAGAAGTTGTGATTACTGTTCTCGTGCTCTTATAAAGTCGCCGACTAGCACGTGCTTTATCCTTCGGACTAACATTCTAGTAAATGTGTAACAAGGTGTATGAGAAACGCGAACAGCGGTCACTCTTGAAACATAAAAACGAATACGGTTTGTTGCAACTTACATACCTTGAATGTAATGTATTGAGCTAAGTCTCAGCGAGTTTCGGCAACTGTTTCGTTTAGAACAAACAATGTTTCAGACAAGGCCAGCTTTCGATATTAATTTGCAGGCTATGCTATGAAGAACAACTCGAATGCTCCTTCAAGTTCCCTGACAAAGCAAAAACAAAATAATTTTGTCTTGAGCATTTATGTCAATTTACCAAAGCGGAATATTCGGCCGTACAAATAGCGAGATATTTATGAGCAGGGGTATAAGGGTTCCATCCATCTAAAACCCTTTTCTACTTGAGAATCCAAAAAAGAGTTGATTTGAGGAGGTACAAACACTGGGTGGGGTTGCGAGGTATATTTTTTCTGAGCAGTGGGACATTGTGTTAAAAAGATGTCACATCAACTCCTGCAGACATCAAGCAGTTACTTCACAATTGCATCACTATCTGATTATTTCAAAATAAACTTATGCAAAACTTCTTTCTTCTTTGTGTTTTTTAACCCAAATTCCATTCTCAGATGAGGAAAGATCGCGACGTTGACATGTAGGGTTCACGTTATAAAGAAAAGCTCTAATGCTCCTCCACACTCCCCAACAATAAAAATGCTATGTTTTTGTCGAGGCTTTATGCAAATACGCCAAATTTGAGCATTTAGTCATGCAAATTGCATGCCACTTATGGGCGGGGGCATAAAGGATCCAACACGTTGAAACAATGTCCGCAGTTAGAAACACAAAATTCTGAGTTCAAGGAGGCACAAAATGCTGGTGTAGTTTCGAGGTTTAATCTTCCACTCTAGACAGTTTAAATGTTTGATGCCAATTCGGTAACTGTAGACATCAAGTACTAGCTTCATAAGTTTCGAAAAGAAACTTTTGTACGACTTCTTTAGTGGTTTGATCCAATCTAGATGTAAGCAAAATGTTGAAGTTGGATACATGCTGAACACGTATAAGATTAAGTGCTTTGTTTTTTAAGTCAACACACTATTGCACCTGCATTTCATATGGGTTAATTCTTCAAACCGGTTTATTTTAGCCGTCGCACTTATCGCATCATTTGCACTACTGAAGCAATTCGTAAGTCTTTGAATTTCAACTTAATCAATGAAATTTTAAGTCGTCATTCTAAAAACAAAGACTCCCTACTCAATCAAAAATATTGTATCTTGTTACTCATTAGCAGTTCTTAACAAGTATCTCACAGATCAGAGGAATTTTACTGCTTGGGTTGGCAGTTGCACCGCCTGTTAGGTGTTACGTGAATTCTACAGGAAAGCTGCAAGACTCTTCAGTGAGCAGGTCTAGAGGGATAACTTATCCTTACGTCATTCGTGTGCTTCACTGATGAATTTCTGATGGTTTTCGTAAGGCCGTATTAGAATGAAAATTGTGCGGAGGTAAAGCAATCAAACATTACCTATTTTAAAAAGTGCGGTCATTAATAAATGTCTTTCAAACTGAATGAATACCCTAGCAGTAAAACAAGGCAAAACAAATATGCTAGTTGAGTTGGAATGGAAAGCGCAAAAAGATCGTAAATTTCAGAAAGTGACATGGAAACATACGTAATATTGCCACACGTCAACGTGGCCGAATCCCTTTCGAAATTCTAATCACTCGTGTTTTGGGGTACACTTCTGTTAGAATGACGTTTACGTGGTATTTATGTAAGTTTAGTTTTGACGTTCCAAATGTGATGCAAAATTAAACCTGTCACTGAAATATGTTAATTTACAGCGACGAATCAAAATGTCTGTTACACTGCTATGCGCGACATGTGAAATCCCAATGCGGAATTATAAGGACAGAGGTCGATGCATGCAGGGTTATTCTTCCAAAAAATTATAAAATGTAATCATCTTAATTACAGTTCAGGCGGAAAGGTAATTGATTACATGATGTCTGTTTCAGTGAACAAGTGTTTCAGAGGCAATTTTCGAAAAGATCTCACTATCTTCTGACAATGATCCGAACCACTCTCTGTTGCAGAATACAGCCACAAAGAATTCTAATCTTATGAAGATTCTGCCCATTCTCACAACAGTCATCGCGGTTGTCGAAATAGTTCTTGTACTCTGCATGCTTTGCTGCAAACCTGCCAAGAAAAAGGAAAAAGGGGATGACGATGACGACGGCGACGGCGACGGCGATGACGACGATAAGGACAACGGGCACAACCGCAATGACAAGAAGACAGGCGGCAATAGTTCTGGTGGAGCAGGGAACGGTGGCGGCAACAACATAATCCACGTTTTCCTAAATATTCCAGGACTAGTTGGTGACGATGGAAAACATTATAACCCATTTAGGATGCTGCATAGTACGACACCGTCGAACGTGTACGGGTCTGTAGACTAAATGTTAACGTTTTATGCAGTACAAATAAAACCACCGTCTTCGGTATGCCACCATAAAGAAAAACAAACTGTTCCATATGTTGCTGTTGTAACTGCTGTAATCTACTTTTACGGCGATAAAAATGCAGATGTTTGAAATGTCTTCGTTTTGTCCTATCCATTTCATACGGGCAATCAAGAGTCGTATTATTTTTCAGCCTTAATTTTAAATTACATTCAGAAAAATTCGCCATTTAGCTCATTTCGTGTCTACAAAGGACTGCATGCTTATGGGGACATAAGTCCTCAAACAAGTTTTAAAACCGTCAACCCTGCACTTTTTGTAAAACAATCTCGACCGATTAAAAAGCCAGAAAGTGCTGAGCTTCATGTCATGCGTTATGGTTAATCGGGGGTCAAGACGAATTAGACACGATAGGTATGATTCTAACTGACAGACCTACATGAGGAACGAAGCAGAACCTTTAGCAGAATAAGGGTTAAGCATTATTCCAACCACAACGCGAACAAAATGGTGAATATGAAAAGATACTCACCATCGCACTAGACAAACAGCCTTTTCAACCGCACCTACTGGACTTAAATGTCGGCAGGTTTGTGTATTTATGTCTTTGCCAAGTGAGCCTCTGGATTTGCCAGCAAACGACGTTATAACAACTGATATTGGAGTATGGATACACACGTCATAGTATGTCCAGTTGGTAAAGAGGATAGGTCCTGTGGCATTGGTGAGAGAACAATGTACTCATGGTTACACTGTCACAAGAACCCAGGCCCACCACTGGCTCACGAAGTAAGCGTTGTCGAGCGTAGCCTGCAGATTTGATAATAGAGGCAGCAGTCATCTCAGCCTCTGTCTCTTCCAAAAATCACTGCCTGCCACCCCTTGATGTTTAATCAGTGCTGCTTCAGAAATTCGCCTTGGATACGATTGAACAATGAACGAGTTATATGCGTCATGGACTCCCAGACGTCCTTAGACTGGAGACAGAGAGAGGGAAATAATTGTATCATTGCTCCTACAGAAGGATAAGGGATGGCTATACAACGATGTGGTGGCATTTCCGTGTTTTTGAATAGTACGCACCAACCTATAAGGCCAGCGCAGACAAGCCACTTTGCGGAACGCAGGCGATGAAGCGCCTAAGTTGACTTGTTCATGAACCCAACTGGAGCAGTACAGCCCACTGGAACAGTACCTGCTGAATCACGTTCTTTAAAGGTTCACTTTATTCTGTTGGCTATGCAATGTCCAGATAACTGGTGACGCGTATGAAAGCGCCTGCGCGTCTTACACACGAGATGATCCTTTGGTCCTCGTGAACCATCCTCAGATAAAAAATCTCAGATCTCATATGAGGAGAGGGTGTCGTAAAGCTCACATTGAGAAAGCCCCATTTTAGTCTGAACCGCATTTTAGGGAAGTACCAAGTTATCATATCAGTGGGACATTTTGCAGACGACGAGTAAATCAGGCTTTATAGTTCCGATTGAGCAACTTGCATACGACTCCGAGGTGGTCGACTCCGCTATCCGATGCCGGTGCCAAATCCAGTCGCCCTTCATGGTGGTGTGATGAAAAAAGGGGCTAAAATGGTATGATAATGTTTACGCGCACCTAACAATACCCTCATATCTCGCAAATTACTCCTTACCAAAGCAATGCCTTCGCATAAGTGAGAGCTGCACAAAGGCATATGCGATGTTACGCTCGTCATCATGACGAGGACAACTGTACTTTTTACTTTTCAATGAGAGCTGCCCGATATTCTGTTGGTCGTCCTCGCGTAGATAATTCGTCGTCTGGTTGTGTGTGGAGAGTGCGATAGTTCAAGGTGAGCCAGATTAATGCTGCTTTGGTATTTGATGTCGCAGATGCACATGCACTAGCACGGGGTAGCGTGCTATCCTGATGTGCAGGAATGGTGTGGTGTGGAACGACGGACATGATGGGGTTTAGCAGAGGATTCTGTCACCTGTGCCATGTTAGCACTGCGATACCTAGGAGAGTGATCAGCCAGGTCGATTATTGATTCGAATATGCGATAGTAAATGGGGCATGTACTTATTTTCATGCAATTTGTTCCCTGTGTCCGGGCGACGTAACCGTGGAGGCACGATAAGAATATCCGGTAAGATGTGGTTTGGTAGCCCCACCTGACTGACACAATATTATTGGGGTTAAGGATTATAGCTAGGGTTAGGAGTTAGGGTTGGGGTTATGGTTGGGGGTTGTGGGGTTAGGGTTTGGGATAAGGGGTCAGAGTTAGGTATAAGGACTGGGGATTAACGCAAATATTTCTCACCCCATTCAAAGTACCATGGCGCATTCGCAATACCTTTTCTTTTGCATACAATTACTTGACCTCGTCGCCTATGTGTTCTCCGGCCCCATTTGTAAAAAGACCATTACCACCGATCCCGTATATTTACATTACCTGTGCTAACTCATGAAATGCCGAGGTCAAAATTATAGTGGAAACTGTAGCGTATTTTTGATGTTGTTATTTGTGTTTATTTAGTTGAAATAAGGACGAAAAGTCCGTTTGCTAAAGGAAAGTTTGATACGGATCTGTGTATTAAATAGAAAACGGGCCGAATTTAGGCGAAATCGGAGGATTCCTGATATTCAAGCAGTTTCCTACGCTATTAAAGCTTTCGGATCGAAATTCTTTGTTTTACCCTATCAATCTGTTTAAGAAGATTTATAAAAGGAAGAAGTTTTTCAATAAACTTTTGTACAAAAAGAAAAAATTAAATTTCAATATCAAGACAATCAGGGAAATGCAGATAAATTATTTCTTATTGTGTTCAGGAAATAACGTGCGATTCTTTATCTAAAAATTCTATTTTACAAATTCGTAAAGTTTTATGTTTCAAAATACCGAAATAAAAAAGTTTATCAGTGTGATTGTTTTACCAGACTGAAAATGCGTGTCGTAAACGAATATATATTGAGTTCGCGCGACATGCCATCACTTTGCTCTGCCACGCCAAACAATAACTATGTCTAAACAATACTTATCCGAAGTTGCCTTCCAGCGCATTCAAAAATTAGCGGCGGAGGGAATCCCGCGTGAGTCGTTAACTAGTATTTTCAATATTAGCAAGGTCACTCTGTGGCGCATTATTAATGATAAAACTGTTCCTAGAAATAAGTTAGGGGGACCCAAACGGTCCACAAGTAAGCAAGACGACGATTTTATTCGTCGTACATTAAAAAGTTTCATTACATGCCCATTGAGACCATTCAACGGGAAAATCTGCCGATGTTTTCTATGAACATCATTAGAAAAAGGATGAAGGAATTTGAACTGCAGCGGCGGAAGGCCATAAGTAAGCCATATTTAAGTAGAAAACTAATTAGAGTACGGCTTTTATTTGCTAAGAATTATATTGATTACAGATCTTCATTTTGGAAGAGCATTTTCTTCTGCGATGAGGTTCTATTTTTAGACAAGCCCACGAAATCGCTCCAAACCGTCATATGTGGAAAGAACTTCCCAAGAGAACACACCACCGACGGCAACATTCAAGAACTGTCGGCGGATGAGGGTTTGGATGGCGATTAAATTCGGTGAGCGGCCTGTCTGGCGATCAACATCCGACACCATCAACAGCAAGGTGTTTATTGCAATTGTCAAGGATGCTTTCGGCTACAACGGCATAAGTCGGCGCCGAATGTATACTGTAATTTTGCACGACAATGCACCTGTCCACCGCTCTAAAGAGGTACGAATTTGATGCCGCTTGCAAATATAATCTAACATTTTAGACAACAACCACCCTCTCCGCAATTGGCCTCCAATCCATTTTCATCCCGGCCAACAGTCCTGATTTGAATCCTACCGAAAATCTTTTTGGAATAGTCAAAGCAAATTGGCACAAGCTAAGTAGACTCTTTCAATGCAGGAAAAATTGGATTTCATACTAAATAATTACATTTTACAATCCACCGTAGATATTCTCTTCATGCCTATGTCTGACAGACTTTCTGCCGTTATTAATTCAAATGGACAATCAACAAAGTACTGATTTTTTGTATCTGTTTTCTTTTTCTTGACCTCGTCGCCTGTGTGTTCTCCGGCCTCGCCTGTAATAATGCCTATTACCACCTGCTCCATATGTGCAGAGGAGATAGGTGCTTGTGACGCTTAATCACGCTGACAACGTTATGTCTGTTCGATGCCTCATCTTTCATTCCAGTTTTCTCAGAGGACTGATACTCTGACTTTCATGGCATTTTGCAAAGCATGCATATCCTGCACAGAAGCTTCCCGTACCTTGTGGGTGGTGTTCAGATACTTGAGAAAATTTTTCCGGCTGGCCTCCCATCTTGTTGTTTTCCTGCCAGCATGCTCCCGTAAGCATGTCACCATAGACTTCTTGCTCGGGAACTATCTCGATTAGCATAATGGCCTGAAAGCTGCATCGAAGGTGAAACTGTTTCATCATAACATGGATTCGGAGCATGCCATAGGCTTTAGGCTATGTGCCTGGGAGCCTTCCCTGACACTTCAACTCCGATTTATTCCGGAGGTAGCTGAGGCGAAGGAGGCCTAACTTCCCTACTTTGCTCTCTTACACGGTTTTGAGAACTTCAATTGCCTCAGTGGGTTCCAAGATATTATTGAGCAGACCTTGGAAAAGTTTTAGATCTTCCAAAACATGCTCTTTGGAACTGTTGGCGTTTGATTCAGGGAGCACCTGAATAATGAGACATTGCTCTTTGGTGACTTAGTTCGTATTTCTTGTTGATATATTGCCCTCTGGGGAATGTGGTTCTCCAAGGATATTAGACGACAATGGCAGAGCACATTCTCTATCACGATTTTGTTTTGACGACCAACATGATTGACCCAAGTTCGGCTAATACGCCTAGCCAAATGACTTGACTTATTTCATATTTCTTTGGATTCCTGAATAAAGCCTTGTGATTTAAATTACCTCTTACTTCATTGGTGGTGATTTATTTGACCCATGTGCAGGGTAAATGAGGAATCTTCACGTGTTTCTTTGCAGCATACGCATATCCACACTTCTAAAATAAGGTTCTCAAAGAAGAAACGGACTGATAACGAATATCTCCAAAGGGTAAGTTACAGAGTTGATAGTAAGAACTGAAATCAAATACAAAAGAAGTCGGGATAGATCGATAATTATACCCCCCCACCTAAGAATAATTAAAGACTACGGATTATCTGCAAGTTTGTTGACGTCAGAGTTGCATTCACAGCCAGCAAAACCAGAACACAACAGGGCTTTGTGTGTTAAAGATCGAAGCTAAAGTAATCCAAGGCGTAACTTAAATTATGGGGTACCAGATCCAGACAGTAAGAAAGTTTTTGTAGGAACGCATCACTGCGACCTAGAATAAGCATCGACGAATGCAAGATTTTTGGCCTAAAATATGACACAAACCAAAGGAAGGCGAATTGTCATGGCTGCATCATCAAGGATCACGACATACGTTTAAAAGCTAAACCGCAATACTGATTTCCAACTAAAGGATCTTTTCACAGGATGACACCGATATCGTGAACGCTTGATCACTCAACAACTCTGCGCTGTCAAGCGAGAGATCTGTTGTGCCGACCGAAGGCTGTAGTTCACTCGTCCTAAAGGTAACATTGACAAGCATGCCTTGAGTCACAAACTACAAAATTCTTGCTGGCCTTTTTATTATCTTATCCTCATAGCGCCCTCAGTTTTCTCTTATCCAATTGCCAAAACGCGCGTCCATCAGGAATTAATGACACTTTGCTGATTTTTTACTTGAAATATCGTTGTCTAAATCCGACCAGACTTTTTAAGCATCCCCTGCGGTCGAGTTCAGCTTGCGTTACCGAAAATTTGCAGTGTTTAAAATTGCTGCAAGTGACAATGAAAGACCCGCTGCAGCTGATAGTGGACGTGTCGTTTGTACCTGCTGTGGACTTTTATTTTACAGTACACTTATCGCCTTGCACTACGTCAAAAAATCCAGTGTAGCAAATTGATACCTCATTATTTTAGACCTTTTAATTGAATGTTCTGACTGACATCCCAGATCGTGTCCCGAAAGAATTAGTCGGTTAGTGCTATATTTATCGCAAACCCAGACCTATGCCGTGTGCATGTCCAGATCAATGTTAAAATTTATAACATTTCCCTATGGTAACATCACCTGGCTAGCATACATGCGTAATTCTATTACCTCACCTGTCTCTGATTAGTGGCCATTCGTAATTTGATGACAGCTTTGCGGTATTGCCGTCATTCCATTGCTTCTTTTTTAAATGATCAAGGAAGCAAATTTAGCAAATATACAGAGGAGGGCACGCGGTTCAAGCTTCGTCAGGTGGTGTGTAATATTCCTCGTGTAAATTAGTGTGTCTTCGACAATCCCCTTTCCTGAAATCCTAAGCATTCTTATTCGTTGGTTGGATTCTTTTCACAGCTTTACTCTCATAATTAGCAAAAATATCAAAATTACCTCTGTAAATAAAGCGCTTTTTTATCGTTTTACGCCTCACACAGTTTAGAGTCATCCTTTGTCTAAGGACGAACATATTAAGCGTATACCTCATTCTGTCGTAGAGGCGTACGGTGTTCCCACTGAACAGCATGAGTGGTGTGCTCGATTAAATCATTGGTTCAAAGGCAAACACAATGCCACGTGTGCAGCCTTGATGATAAATTATTATCCGCGAGTAGGATGAACCAGTTAGCAAGTTCGATATAATAGCAGAGCTGGAAATCGCACGCCCACGTGAAGGCCCACCTAAATTCTAGAAGACAGTCGCTGTCGTGGAAGTGGCGACGAGCATGGGGCGTAGCAGCAGAATAGTTCCATATGGTCGGATACATATTTTACTTAAATGAATCATGTGCAAATCGTGCATTCTTCATAATCATTTTGAGCTTGATTTCTTGGTTTATGTTAATCATAGAACTAGTACGTGAGTT